TTTCAAGGAAAATTTGTCCAAGATGAACATGTTGAATATACATGTCCCTCTTGCGGGGGGGTATTAGATTATATGTATTAGGTTTACCTGTATTTCTGTTATAAATAGATTATTTGTATTAGGTTTACTTGTATGTTATAGATTATATGTATTAGGTTTACTTGTACTTTATGTATTGTTTATTGTACCCTTTTATAAAAGGATTAGTCAACCCATATATAAGGGCACTAACCCTAATTTGTAAACCCACTTTTTTTCATTCTTTTTGGTTAATTGAAATGAGGCAGCATTCTTTTATCTCTCTTCTCTTTCTCTCTCTATACTCTCAGATCCTTTGATAGTTTACAGATAGAGTTCGTCAGGCATCAATTTTAACTCTATCTATCACAGTACCACTGTTTGGTTCGAAATCCACCCTGCAATTCTGATCAGCAACAACCCTTTCGTCATTTTTCACATTTTCACTCAAAAGATCGTTTTTTTTCCTTGAAAATTATCGATCCTCTCGGTTGGGACCTACCATCGAACACATTGCGGGCACCCAACGGCTGGCGTACATATTCATCAAAGCATTCCCAGTAAAAAGCTCGGCATCCAAACCGACTCGGAGCATACAGCCACGCACGGCCTCCCCGAGCCTCAAGTCCCTCAAATGGACGCAGGTTTTCGGCAAAGAAGGAAACATATTCCCAACTGGGCCTCTGCCGGAAGACCACATTTCTTTAAAGAAACCGACGGACCCCACGAAATCGTCGTTCAAGGCGCAGCATCTGATGACGGATTTCCAGACCTTGGTCGGGGGAAGCGACGACCCAAACGTGCTAAGGAGCGAGAGGCAGTCCTGCAATAGGTCGAAGCCGGAGTAGACGGAGATAATTAGACCGGTTAACCCCGGTGAGGGAGAACCGAGTTCGGTTAGCTTGACGGCGCCGGCATGGAGTTGTTTGGCTTGCGAACTTGTTTTGATCAGTGATGGGTTGTTGAGGAGGGTTTTGAGGGTCTCGGCGGCGTTTCTCATCGGAGTTTTTCGTGCGAGTTTTTGTTGTCTGTTGTTATTCGCTCATGTGGACCAGCTTTCCGAACCAACGTTTTGCGGCCTCCAAAAAGCTCAGGCTAAATTCTGTATATACAAATGAAGTATCTTAGATAATTTCTTCCTTCAACGTCAATCTTGCAATACTTCAGTTACACATCGATTATATTTTTTTTTTGGTACAGGGACCTTCCGGTTTCCGGATCCACAGGGGAACCGACTAATCCGGAATCGAGCCGGATAGGACCACAAGGGCGGCAAATAACACATCGATTATTTTCCTTAGTGCATTCGATAGAAACCGAACCTAATGATGCTGTGTAAGGAAACCGACGATATACAAAACCAAGAAAAGTTAATCTTCTTTTCAAAGTAAATAAATCCCTGTTTGGTTAGGAAGAAAGAAATACAAAGCTCTCCTATCATCTTACCATGACTGAATATATTTTACAGTTAAAGTACCAGAGGTCTCAATTTCAGTTTCTATCAAAATTCCATTCTTTAACTACAAAACAAAGCTAATACGAGTTACTTTTAGTCACCCACTTAAAAAAATGGATCCCCTTGTCTTATGTATCTTGTAGGAAGAACATAACCACTTAAAGTGCCATTGATTTTAAAGGAATAGGTGCAGGAAGTGATGCATATCATAACGAGATTAACAAAGGTCTACTAGAATCCCATTTACAGCATAATTTTCTTAGTACAGAGCCACTCTACTCTGTCAAAGGCTTTATTAAATCAGACTTGAGAGCCATGAAATAGTTTTTTCCCAGAGTTGTGTCTATTTAAGAAATGAAAGGCTTCTTGACCAATTATAACATTGTCCATGAGTTGCTTGCCCTTAATGAAAGTTGATTGAGAGTCACTTATGCATACAGCCAAGCAAGATTGAAGTCTGAGGGCTATAATTTTAGAAAGAATCTTGTACACTACTGAACAAAGACTAATTGTTCTAAATTGTGAGACATATTCTGGGTTAATGCATTTGGGTATGAGTGTGATAATGGTGTGGTTTCAGTATTTAAGCAATAAACCATGATCAGTAAAAAAGCTAGAAATAGCAGATATTAGATCAGATTTTAATAATCTCCCAAAATGATTGATAAAATTGAGTTGTCATACCATCCTTTCCTGGAGAGTTGTCTGGGTGTGAAGGCTGAAAAGAGCTGTCTTAATCTCATCCTCTGTGACTGGTTGAAGCAACTGAGTGTTCATGTTTGTTGTAATGGAAGATGGGATAAGAGGGAGGATAGAGTCCCCTCCACATGAGCCTTCAGAAGTGAACAAGGTAGAGTTGAATTCAGAGATATGATCTTAGATTTCTTTCTGAGTGACACAAGGTCTATTCTTAGGAGTGAGGAGCCTTGTGATAGCATTCTGTCTCCTTCTATGCAATGTATAAGCATGAAAGAACCTTGTCTTGCTTTCACCTTCTCTGAGCCACTGAAAATTAGTTTTTGTTGTCAGTAGAGCTCTTCTTATCTATGAGCAGCATCCAACTTCTTTTTTTTCTGGCAATCCATTCTTCTCAGATGTCCTCATTCTTATTCTGATGAAGGGAGTCCAATTTTTTTGATAGGTTGGCAATAAGAGATTGGTTCTGAGAAGGTGGCACTCCAGATCAGTAACGCTTTCCTGGAAGCTTTGACTTTTTTCTTTCAGGATGAAGAATGATCTTCCTGCGTGACTAGTGGCCCATGCTTCTCTTACCATCTCAGCAATTCCTTCTTTGGAGAGCCATCTTTTATCAAATGAAAATTTGCTTTTCTTTATGTCTTTTCTATCTCCTGAGTGTAGTAGTAGCTTGGAATGATCTGAGGCAGTCCTAACCAACGTGGATACATAAGCTTGAGTGTGAGACTCCAACCAGTCAGGAGAGGCAAATCCTCTGTCAAGTTTTTCTTCTACTAACCCTTCAGATGATCTGTTGTTGCACTAAGTGAATTTGTAGCCTTGCATATTTGTTTCTTCCATTGCCATGGAGTTGACGACGTTGTTGAACCCTTCCAAGCTAGAGGTTGTTCTTAAAACATCCATATCCATGGACACCAAAGGCTTCCTAGCCGGAGAAAGTACAGTTAATAAATATTAGCATTAAGAAGAGATATTAGCATAAGATAGGTAAGCGGGGAATAGAACGAACTATAAGTGCGGACTGGCTGAACCCGTCCCCGAGAGATAGCCTACCCGAACCCTACCTTGAACTTTCTTTGCCTTAGTACTTCGTGGACAACTATTCCTTCCCTTTTATCATCATTGGAGCAGATATCATTCCAATCTTCTAGAATGAAACAGTGGTCACCCCAATTATATTTAGCTACTTCCAATTCAGCCCACTGAGATTGTCTTGTAAGGCTGCAAGTGCTAATATAAACAAATATTCCTAAGGTGGTGATGGAGTCTGCTGCTAGAAACTCCACTGCTATGCAGAAGTGGTGATTGATAATCTGAGTAACTTGAACATCAAAAGACCAGCATAATAGCCACCCCCACTTAAGCCAATAGGGTCAACAATGGCACACATGTTCTCAAAACCCAGTTTCCTAACAATTGTTTTAACAAAAGCTGAAGATTTTTTAGTTTCTGATAAAAATAAAAAAGTTGGATGGTGAGTCTTACATGACTCTCTAATTTGGGAAACTATAGAGGGCTCACCCAGCCCTCTACAGTTCTACACCACAGCTAACATTGGTCACTTGGGTGCCATTCAAGGCTGGCCACCCCCACCTGCTTGTTCTCTATTTTCTAGTTTTTTGTATCTTCTTGGTTTGTGTCTTGTTTGCTTTTACCACCAATGGTGACTCATAAGTTGATCCGAGTCTCTTTCCATTCAGACTGCTAACTGGATAGGAGGAGTCATCATCCTGCCTTTGTAGTTTGCCAACTTTGGATGTGGATCTCTTCCATGATTTAAGTTAGCTATGTTGAGGGCCTTTGATTTGTTGCTTGGCTTTAATGGTGGTTCATTGAGATGGATGGAAAGTTTCTATCTCCATATCCTTAATTGCTATTTGTTGTTGAGAGATTGAAGATTGGCCTTCTAAAAAAAGAGTAGGACATGTGGTTTTTGCTTGACCTTGACTGGTGTATTGGTGTTGAGGAAGGTGTTCTGAGTGAGAATTGAAGGCCTCTGAGACTAGTAATATGTGTTGAGAAGATGAGCCTTGGATAGGGAGAAATTTGTTGCTATCTTCTCTAGGATTGTTGGATGAAGGTGGAGTTGTTATATGATTAGGTGAGGCCTGTGTATTTGATGAAGGTGGACTCTGAGATCCAGATGTGTTGGTTCTGGCCCAATGGTGACTTTCTGTTGCATGCATCCAGTCGCCAAATTGTCCCTCTTTCACTGAATTTGTACTAATGTCATGCAGCATCTTGGAACATCGACGGTCCAAATGACCTATTAGCCCGCAGTAGTGGCAATGGTTAACTAGTTTCTCATATTTGGAGCTAACACTCACTGCTTGCCTATTCAACCTCACTTGAGCACATCGAGGCAATGCTTCCTTTAAACTTACAGAGACAAGAAGACGCATAATTCTTCCACCATGGCTGCATGCTCCCACTATCACAACATTTTTAACTTGCTTGAAAACTTTGCCTATTTTCAACCTAACTTCAGTGCTCAGCCAATTGAGGGGAATATTGAATACTTGGACCCATAATTGAAGCTCTTGGAATATTGGATGATTGATTGAAATGCATTCTTGCCATTCAGAGAGAATTAGTTATTGATTTTCGTCCAGTTGAGACCCTTTGCTACTCTTTCCAAATCGTCCTTGCTTTAAAAAAATGAATTGAAAGTAGTTGTGTCCTAGCTCTTTCACTCCCATCGGTTCACGCAATTTCCAAATGTTACTCATCGCTCTTTTGATGCCAATCCAGGAGGCTTTTCTATCACTGAAGATTTTGCCAAACAAACCACGTTGGCACTCAACATCGCTTACTTTGATATCATTCGTAGCTATATAAATAAATGAGTGCTCTTTTTCCGATAAAGAGAATCCTTGAAGCAGTTGCGTAAGTTCATTATCCTACCAGATACAGCAAAAAGTGCCCATGGGGATTAACCCTAATCAGACAGATTCAAGAAACTGAAAACCTAGAAGGAATTAAGGATTAGTGAGACAAGAATTATAGAGGTAGAGGGAAAACATAACAGAATCGACGAGTGAAGGCGAGACAGAGGATCATGCAAAGGTTAATTTCAATAATATTTATATATACATTGTTTCTCCCATTTTTGTTGCATTTTTCGTGCTTATTTTATCTTTCTTTTACCCTCATATTTGGTCTTTAAGTTGGTTTTTGGTTAATTTCGTAGTTTATTTGTATTTTCCTCTATCTAGAGTCTTTTTGTGTTTTTCGGTTATTTTTCGGTTTTCTCCGTTTTTGTTTTTGTTTTCGGTGTGTAGGTTAGAAGGCTCGAGAAGATTTATTTCTCATGGTTAATGGACCGGGTGAACATCATTAAATACAGTAACTCGTTGGCAATACACAAGAAAGAAAAACGGAATTAAATTCTGTTTCCAAACGAGCTTGCACGAACCGAAAAGCAAGGTCAGATAACTAGTCACAAGCTCGTCCAGGCCCTTGAACGTGCACAAGTCCTCCACCTTCACGGCTGCGTTTTCCCCTCCGTGACAGTACCACCTTCCGACAGCCGCTCTTCCCAGACCATCACGCGGCGCCACCTTCATCAGCCGCTGCAAGCATTCCACCACGGCGCGGCGACCATGCTGCTTTCAATTCGAATCTGCCCAGTTTTCTTGGCCGCGGCCGTGGGAGAGGAAGTCGCGGCCGCGGCGAACAACAGCAGCCCCAAGTTGCAGCCTTCTGCAGCAAAAAGTCGCGGCCTCAGGAAGAGCCGCGGCCGCAGAACTCTTCTTCACCGCGGCCCACGGGCCCTTCCGCGGCCGCGAAGGTCGCGCTTGACAGATTTTAAATAGCATATTTCGAAAGCGATAGGGGTATTCTCTCCC